AAAAAAAAAAAAGGAGCAGTAAAAGGAAGAACATGAGGAGAGAATTTAGGATGGCTTTTCGTTTTCAACTGCAAAACATCTCCTAATGTGAATTTAGGGAGGAGAAAACGAGAATGAAAGAGAATAAGAAAAGTATAAAAGATAAAGACAGAGAATTTCAGTTCAGTGAGCAATGTAATTCATGCAATTCTATAAGTGTTGATGGAACAACTATTATGAGCTTATTACCCATTAATAAATTGGGTACAGAATTAAAACCAATCCAAAGAGGATACATTTCCTTCTTTTCCACAGGCCCTCTTTGTACTAACCTGCCCATGATCCTTTTCCTCAAGGACCAGCAAATCCAGACAGAAATCAATAGTAGGTATTTTAAATCGTAGACTCAACAAATAAATTCTTCCTTCCAATTTTCTTTTAGATATGTTTTCTCTGTGTAATACTATATAGTATAGACTATAGCTATGTATGTATGCTTTTCACTTACATGCATCTTACTACATTTGATTTCAAATATGTTCTTCTTAAAATAAAACTGCTTTTTAAAGTCCTGCACAATTCTGATTTTTACCAAGTCAGCCCACTTCTTCTATCAAACACACAAACATAAATTGTCTAGTGAATTCTAGTCAACTTTTCCAGAGTGAAAAAAAAAATGCCCCGGTTTTCTCTTCTACCAGGACAGGAAGCATTTCCTGGAGCTTAATCACCCGTTTAGCCTTGCAAAATTGGGAAGGTTGAGTGAAATTAGTAAAGTAGGTTGTATCATCCTACTTTGAATTTGGAATTTTTGGAAATGGTCCTGCTGCCATTTGGATGAAAAGCAATGATGAGTCAGTCAAGCTGCGGGTGATCTAAACACACATTGTCACCCTATAAAAGTTGGGCTCCAGAGGGTGGACCAGGAAGGCAGTAGGCAAAGAGCAAGGCATTGAGACAGCATAGAGTTCAGCAAAGCCCGTGGAAATGGAAAGTCTTGCAATCCTACTGTTTCTATGCGTGGCAGTTTGCTCAGCTTATCCATTAGATGGAGCTGCAAGGGGCGAGGACGCCAGCATGGACCTTGTTCAGGTAATTAACGGAGGTAGATGGACACCACACTCATTGACAGGGCCAAGTGGAGAGACCATCTCTGCCTTCCACAGTAAGCTCAAACCACTCTGTGTGTCTCAAAACCCACACAGAATGATTTGAGTTCAGTGTGTGGGAACAGTTCAGGGACAGAGTTATAAAGTGTTGGACGTGGAAAGGGTCTCAGTATCACAGCATTTGGGCTTCTCCTTTTATGTCGGAAGAAACAAAGGCCAGAAATATTAGGTGTTTTCTCAAGATCACACAACACCATAGCAGTAGCAGCACTGGGGCTTGAGGCACATGAATAACAAGTGGGAAGTGTGTGAACCATGTCACGTTTTGGAACTTCTTTAGGTATTTTAATTCAATGTAAATTTACCTAAGTATTTGTATTGCTAGTGACATGTTTAGACAAAGGAATTTGTCCAGCTCTTTTCTTAAGCCAGGTCCTTGTGAGAAATATAAAGTGAAAAATTAAGGAAATTGAATAAATTTACCTAAAATAGACAAATATGCTCAAAGAGGCTTATTTTTGTTCATTTTGTTTTTCTCCTTTAAGTGCACTGGATATTTACTTCAATTTTTCACTTTACTTTTATGACTTTGATGGCAAACTAAGCTGCAGAGATAGTTAAAAGTTAAAGCAAAGGTGAAAGGAAGACTGTAAAAAAGAATTAAATGAAATTTGACATTTATTATTTCAGGAAACTAGAGAAATACTTCAAATAGATTGAGAAAAGTGGGCTACTGCAAAAGTTTACTATAAATAGCTACAACATAAATCATAAGAATGACCTAAAAACTATACTTACTCTATTAGCAATACCTAGAAAACTACTACAACCTTCCAAAACAAGCAAAGCAGTTTGTTAGAAGAAAGGACAGTGGTCCTGTTGTTAAAAAAATCCGAGAAATGCAGAAGTTCCTTGGGTTGGAGGTGACGGGGAAGCTGGACTCCGACACTCTGGAGGTGATTCACAAGCCCAGGTGTGGCGTTCCTGACGTTGGTTACTTCAGTACCTTTCCTGGCACGCCGAAATGGAGGAAAACCCAACTTACCTACAGGTAATGGGTCCAAAGAGTTTTCACATAAGATTGAAATTTTATAAGCTGTGTCATAGTAGAAAATATTATCTTCTTCAATTTTTCTTGCACAGGATTGTGAATTATACACTAGATTTGCCAAGAGACGCTGTTGATTCTGCCATTGAGAAAGCTCTGAAAGTCTGGGAGGAGGTGACTCCACTCACATTCTCCAGGATGTATGAAGGAGAGGCTGACATAATGGTCTCTTTTGCAGTTGGAGGTAAAAGTCAAAGCAAACCAGAACAAAAACACATGAAATGCATCCATTTATCTGTTGTTTTATTGGAAAAGGCAAAAAGAGATCCTAATTAGCTACCTTTCCAATAAAAAAATTTTTTTTCTGTTAGAACATGGAGACTTTTCCCCTTTTGATGGACCTGGAAAAGTTTTGGCTCATGCCTATCCCCCTGGGCGAGGGATTTATGGAGATGCTCACTTTGATGATGATGAACAATGGACGAAGGAGACAGCAGGTTAGTGCCATCTCTCAGAATGGTTTTGGTATTAATTTCTTTTTACATTTAGAAAACTCTTAATAACTAAAAATGCCCAAGAAATGGGGTATTCTGGATTTCCCAGTGGATCAGGGATTAGCAGAATATATTTTTGTTTAAATCATTATTGAAAATATTTTCAGATGCCTAAAAATTATATTTCCTGTCTTGGTTAAGCACAATATAAAAAACATTGTTAAGTATTTCTTTAATGATTGTGGATTGTGTGTGATTTAAGGGCCACCATTATTAAGAACAATTTCTCATTATATCAAAATGCAGATATCCAAAGGATAGTGTATTGCATTGAATCTATACCAAAAAGTGGCTTGGATATTGCTTAGGTAATTTTCCCCATTTACTTCTTTACTCTTCAAAACAGACATCAGAATTAAATTTCAAAACCTGAAGTTCTCTTTTTACTTTTTTCTGGCTAAGGCAATATTTTACCACTTCTAGGCTAAGAGGAATTTTTGTGGACTTATTCCAAAGGAAAGAACTAACCCACAAATACAATGCCTAAACTGTTTAGGTAGAAGAATGTTTCTCAGTTCGTAACTGTGTATTTTGGGGAATAACTTCCAAAGTTTTCAAAAAATCAGCTGAAACAAATAATGCTACTTCTGAGATTTAACTGGGATTTATAACAAAAATGTAAATATCTGTGGAAAGTACAAATGTGAGTTTAGTGCTGGATAAAATTCTTGATTTGGTTGAATTAACAACTTCTTTTTACAAACGAACCTTCCTAGGATCACAAAAGTAGATTTACTTGTTATGTCGATCGTAATTACCCAATGCCTTCCAATTTCAGCATTATGGGTTTTTTTAAAAAAAAAATATGAAGAGGAAAAACATCTGAATACAGCTAGTGTTTGTGTGCCTAAAATCTCTTTTGTGACCAATGATAGACATGATTGGGTATGTTATTTTTTAAACCAATTTTGCAAATCCTATGACATCTTGCATAATTCATCTTTTTAGACTCAATATAATATATACTTGATAGTGAGGACAAAAAATTATGAAGGCAATATTCCAATAAAAAATAACAGGAGTATGGTTGTTTAAGGATTTCAGAATTGAGATGAATACAGTTTCATTCAACTGAGACTGCAAATGGCAAATGCTAATATATTGAAACACTGTTTAGCTTTGCTCTGATAAATGAAGAGAAATTTTTACTGATGTGCTAAACAAGTAGGTTCATTCCATTTCTGAGTACAAGAAAAGGGACCTGGTTCTCCTGGAGTTAAGAGGCTCCCAAGGCCGGGGGTAGGTGGGTAGGTGGATGTGACAGGGTACTTTACAAGAATGATTTCAAGTATGTCCTGAAATAAATTTAGCTTTCCATTAAGTGTATAATCAGTCAATTGCTCAATTAACCAACAAACAAGTCAAAAATAGCCTTATGTGGTTCCAGGAAGTAAACCAATACAATGCACAGCTGACTTGTGTAATGTACCTGTATTTTAGGAATAAATGGCTATTATTTATGATTTCATAAGTAGGAACCAATTTATTCCTCGTCGCTGCTCATGAACTTGGCCACTCCCTGGGTCTTTTTCACTCGGCCAACACTGAAGCTGTGATGTACCCACTCTACAAGACATTCACAGACCTGGCCCAGTTCCGCCTTTCTCAAGATGATGTGGCTGGCATTCAGTCCCTCTACGGTGAGTGATGCTGGAAAAATTAGGCATCGCAGCTTTGCAATGATGGTCTTCAGGGAAGTTTTAAAATGCTACACAGAACATTTGTAATTTAGCTCAAAGGACCTTGAGAATGTTCGGAAAGCATGTAAATTGACAGACGCATCACATTTCCCTAATGTGTGTATCCCTGAATCTGTTCCCTTTAGGACCTCCCTCTGCCTCCCTTGATGACACCCTGGTGCCCACGGAATCTGTCCCTCCAGCACACGAGACACCAGCCATGTGCGATCCTGCTTTGTCCTTCGATGCAGTCAGCACTCTGAGGGGAGAAGTCCTGTTCTTTAAAGACAGGTCAGACCAGCAAATTGTATTTTCCTATCTATCGTTTTGATTTACAATGCTTAGAAAGGAAAACAAAAGGAAACGTGATAGAGACTTTCAAACATTTAAAACAAAAACGTTTCCTCTGAGCTTCAAATCATTTACACCTGATGCTGCCCTTTCCACATTTTCCTGAAATTGTCAGGTTCATTTCTGAAGTCTTAGGATGAGTTGTTTCTTATCCTCTAATTGTTGTTTCCAAATGCCCTAAGACATGGTTGCTTTTCAAAAAACACAAATAAATCTTTAGAATAAGAATTTTATCTTTACCTCTTTTAAAAACGACTCCAGGATAAGCATTACATTTAATCAGTTAATTTACTTACTGTTGCATAAATGTGCACATGATAAAACATTCAAACTGCACAAATGGGAAGAAAGTTAAAAATTTGGTTCCCGAGTTCTCCCTATATTCATTCACAATCAACACCTCTTTCATATCCTTCCAGAATTCGTCTGTCCCTGCATAAGAATATACCTGGACAGAACATACACATACACACACATCTGCCTAGATTTTTGAAAAGTATAAATGATGGTATAGCATATACTCTGTTTTGCATGTGTTGCAGGTTGAACTCATACTGGGCTAATTAGTTTGCAGTAGGATAACTTTTATTTCATAGACAACGTTACTCTGAAAAGCTATGACAGGAGGTCCACTGCAGTCTTCTGAAGAAAAAGAAAAGAATTTTCCTAATGGCAATTATTTGATTTCTGTCTATCATCCGGCCTAGAACATGAGGGAATGGGGGAAGTTGGGTGAGGCGGGACAGTGAGGAAAATACTGTAAAGGTGAAAGACTGTTTTTCAATTTACATTTCTTTCTGTATATATTTTAGGCATTTTTGGCGCAAATCCTTCAGGACACATGAACTTGAATTCCATTTGATCTCTTCATTTTGGCCATCTCTTCCTTCAGACCTGGATGCTGCATATGAAGTTACTAGCAAGGATACTGTTTTCATTTTTAAAGGTAACTATGATACAATCATTTCTTTAACTCATGAAATAAACCCTTTCACAAGAAAACTGAACAGGATTTGAATTTTCTTTACTATGTCAAAATTTGGCTACTAAAACAGCCAAAGGTAATGAAGAAATAACCAGGGCTGGTATTATTTTATTTATATTTTACAGATGATAAAAATAAAGATAGGAAGATACATTGCCCAGAGTTGTGAATTCTCTCATTTGGTCTTTGTTCATTCATTCAATTGGCAAATTTTAGCTAAAAGCCCACTATGAGCTGGTGACTAAATCTAAAATTCAGGCTTCTTCTTTACCATAGAAATCAAAGGTGTTAAAATGTATTTCTAAAACTAAAAGGCTTAACGGTTATAAATTTAATATGACCCCGAATTATTTATTTTTAACAGGAAATCAGTTCTGGGGTGTCCGAGGAGGTGAGGTACAAGCAGGTTACCCAAGAGGCATCCACACCCTGGGTTTTCCTCCAACGGTAAAGAAAATCGATGCAGCCATTTCTGATAAGGACAAGAAGAAAACATACTTCTTTGTAGAGGACAAATACTGGAGGTGAGATGCAATAGGAATGACTTTGCATGGAGCCTAATTAGGGAAATTATTTTCTTTCTCTAAGAAAACCCACTGCAGCCCCCTTAGGCCTGCTTTCCTCTCAGAAGGAAGAATGGGTTTTAGACAACTTCTGGAAAGTACCTTCAAACATAGCAGTGCCTTATAACAGGTGTTTCTTAAGCTCTCCCACTTTGAGTCCCAGGTGCAATTGGCTGGTGCTTCCCTCTCTGCTGTTGGCCCCCCACCCCCTGAGCCCCCTCTTCCCTTCTTCACCTACTCCGATCCTGCCCGTCCCTCAAGTCCTGGCTCAAGTGCCACCACCTGCATGCAGCCTTCCTTCCTGGACTTTAAACCCAACTAGGAAGACGCCCTGAGAATCCAGGCCACAATTTAGCTGTCTTGCAGTTCTGCTCCTTGTCTCATTGTGTTTGCCTTGTCTTCGAATGTTACTATATGATTTTCAAGGGCTTCTTCTAACCTCACTCATTCATTCCTTCTGCCTGTGTAAGAGACGACAAGCAACAGCAGTCCAGTTTTAGGGATACAACCCTGGACTCACAGACAGGTTGACTCTTGTGCCACCTACCCAGACTTTAAGACATCCAGGCCGACCATCTGACATCCAACCAATGGGCCCAAAACACATTTACTGTGCTTTGCTTCTCATCCCAACCCCTTTTCCTAGGAGGCTGCCATAGAAGACTTAGGTGTGCAGGGTGGGGAGGGCAGGTATATATGGCCAACTGTGGTAGAGAATTTGAAATTGTATTTTAGATGAATGATTCAATTTACTTTCTACACCCCCCCACACACACATATATATAAGTCTCTGTGACAGAAAGATGATTAAGGTTCTTTCTGTCCAGGCTTAAGAAATACAGTTAACAAGCAGCATGTGCTACATACAACAGGATGCTGTCCCTGTTCCCGGTTTTAAGAGACATGGTTTTAAGAGCTAAGTTTGCAATACCATTAAAGTCACATATTTCTCTAGTCCTAAATATGCTTGACATTTATTTGCAGTACTTGGAAAGTTTACTAGAATTCCCCATTAAACCTAACATGACATATGAATTTTGGTAACATGGCCTCTATGCATTGCTGAGCTATGTTTCTTTCACTTGGAACAGATTTGATGAGAAGAGACAGTCCATGGAGCCAGGCTTTCCCAGGCAAATAGCTGAAGACTTTCCAGGGGTTGACACAAAGATTGATGCTGTTTTTGAGGCATTTGGTAAGAGGATATTTATTTTGTTGGCAGTGGGGCACTTGAAACATTCTATGGTATCAAAGGGAAGAGGAGAATTGAAACAATTTTTAATAACAGGTTTTTTTTTTCCAAATCAGTTCCTTCCCCAAATTTTGATTCACCTACTTTTGTGCCAATTATATGACTACTTCACAGAATAAGTTATTTTGAATCATAAAGATAATTAACACAAATCTTCCTACTTTATTTGGTTTTATACATGCATATAAAACCAAAGTGCTCGTGTCACTTCCTCACTTCTCGAGCTGCTACCTTACAGATTACCATGTTAGCATAAAAATTTCATCAAGTGATATGGCCAGGTGCAATACTGGTGGCCTGGTCTTTTCCTCCATGCCATCTTATTGCTACTACTAATTTTCAGGGAAATTTTCTCTGTCTTTCCTGAGTAGTTGGTCATTGCCCATATCGGTCAGTTGCAAACACTTACCTTTCCATGTGCCCAAAGTTAAAAAAAAAATTTTTTTCCCTACTCAAGGGTAGGTGAGTGGAGGCTGATGATCTTTATTGAAAGGTAACCTGGGCATATTTGCAGAGCACTAAAGGGTCCTCTGGTGTCTTGAAAGAGTCGTTGTGCTTCTCAGGTTGCAGCTGGGGAAAGGGGAAGAGACGTATTGGGAGGAAAGAAATAAGTGATGATAGTTTCCAGACAAGAGGAGAATTTTATCTGTTTGGAAGCAGCTTTGCTGTCAGATAGAGCTTGCATGGAGTGCTGTCTCCATCCTTCCTTGTTAAGTAACCCTGGGCAAGCATCTAAATCTGTCTAAACCTCAACTTGCTTATCTGTAAAATGGAGTTAGATATACTACCTTATAGGGCCGTTGCAGAGATAAATGAAAATAAAATCATGCAAAATGCTTAACACAGTCCCTGGCACAAAGTAAAACTCTATAATCATTTCCTATTTTTAGATCTCTATTATTATGAGTTTTGAATGTTGCCAAATGCCTTTATTTGAGAAACTATCTTACTATTATTTTGCAGGGTTTTTCTATTTCTTCAATGGATCTTCACAGTTGGAGTTTGACCCAAATGCCAAGAAGGTGACACATATTTTGAAGAGTAACATCTGGTTTAATTGTTAGGAGAGATGTGTAGAAGACACCATTTGGGCATTTTAAATGGACCTAATAATTCTTCACCTAAGTCTTTGTGAATGAAAAGGGTTTGTTCTCTCCTGCGTGTGCTGTGACAGAGAATTTGAGTGTGCACTGTGCATCTTGCTAGTTGTCTTCATTTTATTACAGGGCATTCAAACGTGCTGCTGCTTAGCTTGCACCTTGTCACATGGAGTGATTGTTCACAAGAGAAGGGGAAGCACTCATGTGCAACAAATGACTGTATCTATGTAGACTATTTGCTTGTTATTTAATAAAGATGATTTGTCAGTTATTTTATTTTATTGTTTTGCTTGTTTCAAGAGCAAGTCGTTCTCACAATCTTGGGGACATTATGGACTGACTGAGCAGGAGACAGCCTCAGATGCTTGGCCAGTGGATAAGGGTCTCCACAGCTGGGGCTTTGCAGTGGGCTCAGTTAGAACTGAAGAGATCAACTTGCCCTCTTCATTAGCCCTATAACAGGATGCTTAGTCTGCCACCTAGACATTGTATGTGTTAGGAGAAAAATCTAGGGGGCTGGTCACGCTGTAGGGCAGGCTCTGGGAAAAATTGGGAAGTGAATCTTGTAATCATAGCAAATTGCCTAATTCACACACCTCATTTTACATGTGGGGAAATCAAACTTGTTCTTCATCTTTTCCTTTTACTTGTGTATTCCCTCAGTGAAGCCCCTTCCCCTGACCTAGAAAGCAAAAGTCCTCAATTCTACCTTATTCACACAAAAAGATACCCTCTTGTATTCATTTTGTATCTGCCTGTGCCCCAAGGTAAAGGCCCATTGGCAAATGGTGATTCTAAAACAGGTTTATCATCCATAAGTAGCATCTTTAGCATAATGCCTGGTACACAGTAAGAGCTCATTCCCTCTTTAATTATCCATTCATTTGGGAGTGGTTTCTTAATCAGATTCCATGTGCGAGGCATTATGCTAGGTTGTAGCATAGAAACCCAACAACAACAACAAAAAAAGGACACAATCACAATCCCTTCCCTCATTGAGATTGTAATTCAGCAAAAGAATATATGCAGATAACCACACATATGAATACACAATTGTAAATGTGATAAGAGTTACAAAGGAAAAAAAAAATAGACTTCTTTGATAGAATAACAGGAGAACCTAATTTGAACTAGGTGGTTTTAAAAGAACTTTTGAGGGAATGGCTTTGAAGAAGATTTTGAGGGGAGGTGTGGAGACTAAGTAGGGAGATGATGGCTTGGACCAGTAGTCCCCAACCTTTTTGGCACCAGGGACCAGTGTCATGGAAGACAATTTTTCCACGGACTGGGGGAGCGGGGAGGTAGGGAATGGTTTCAGGGTGATTCAAGAGCATTACATTTATGACAGTTGCAGCTGCTCCCCAGCTCTACCATTGCCACCTCAGCTCCACCTCAGATCATCGGGCATTAGATTCTCATAAGGAGCGCGCAACTTAAATCCCTCACATGTGCAGTTTACAGCAGGGTTCGAGCTGCTGAGAATCCAATGCGTCTGCTAATCTGACAGGAGGTGGAGCTCAAGCGGTGATATGAGCCATGGGGAGTGGCTCTAAACACAGACGAAGCTTCGCTGGCTCACCTGCTGCTCACCCACCTCTCACCTCTTGCTGTGCAGCCGGGTTCCTAACAGGCCACGGACTGGTACCCATCTGCAGTCCCAGGGTTGGGGATCATTGGCTTGGACCATGTGGTCACACTGGAAAGTCAGGGATAAGAGTGAAATACGCAGATATGAGACACAGAGCAGGACTCAATGATGGATTAGATACGTGGTTTGACAGAGAGGGAAGTATTCAGAATAATCCCCAGATAGCTTTCTCGACCATAAGGGTTGATGATGGCGGCATTTACTGAGATGGGGAAAGACTTGGAGAGAAAGTCTGAGAGGGAAGGGCAAGAGTTCGAATGAATTGTTTAGTCTTGCCCATTTTTGAAATGTCTGAGTGATATTCAAGTAAGCCATGGGATAAAGGAATCTGGAACACAAAATAGAGTACATAAATGTGGGCGTTTTTAGCATTGAGATTATTCTTAAGCCACAAATATGGGAGAGATCATATGGGGACATCCTAAGATGAAACTAATGAATAACAACATTTTGTGAAAAAAAGATAGCATTTCTTTATTTTTAAAATGACCTACATTTAATTTAGTTTAGTTTTTAACAGGTACTACCTAGCCACAACACAAAATTCAAAAGTTAAAAAAAATTATGCAATAAAAATAATTTTCCTCCCACTCCTGTTCCCAACATCTAGCTCCTTTTCTCAGAGGCAACCAAGTAGATTTTTATGAATCCTTCCAGAGCCATTTTATGCATACCAAACATTAATACTATCTTTTTAAATAAAAATGGCAGCATGCAAAATCACACTGTCCTGCTCTTTGTTTTTTTCACTTAATATAATTTAATATAATTTGGCAACCATTCCGCATTGGTACATGTAGAACTGCCTCATTCATTCATTTTTTTATAAAGGCATAGTTAATTTAACATTAAGAGTGCAATATGAAAGGCCCAAATGAAATGAAGGAACACATCTGCCCATTAACACCAACCATGCTCTTTTAACATGTGCCTGTTGAACGGAATGGGGATTTAATAAAAGTTCACTACTAAAAAAAAAAAGACTCATCATAGATAATATCCTTATACAATCTAATTGTGCAATGAAAATTAATAATGCTTCAAATAGTTTAAACCTGAAGTTTGATACCACACCTCCATGTTTGTACAGTTCTCAATAAGATTATCTACAATATTGAAAACCATTCAAAGAACAAACCATTGATTAAAACCACATTGATTTAAGACTCAGTCACACCCATAAATATGTAGCTATTATGTACCAATTAAAGAAAAACCCAATCAAGTAATATAGAGCCCCAAAGCAAATGGTTAAATATAAGAACTACTTGTATTGATGTCAATTATTTGATTCTCTCATGATTGTTAAAAGTTGGTTGTTAGCAAATAAACCCTTTAAAGGCAAAATTCACCGCATTCGAGTTTTGACCCAGCAGTTCAACAAGAATGATGAAGTCCACAGTCTTACTGGCAAAACGGATACATGGTAAAGTCCTTACGTAAAGCGGTCAATAGATTCTTGGAACGTGTAACTTTAAGGGAAAAAAACTTATGAGGAAACGCATTATACCATAGGCTAATTGATATAAATAAGAGTTAAGTTCCTACGGCATATTTCTAGTCACAAAAACATCACCAAACTTCTGATGAAAGACCAAAACACTTCCAGTATTGAACACTGAAATAAATGTGAGCTATGCATACATTCAAGAAAGTTAACAAAAACAAATCGGATAATGATTTATCTGTTTATTCCGGTCCAGGTTCGAGGGTGGCCAGAGCCTGTCCCCGCAGCGCAGGGCAGGAGGCAGGAACCAGGCCTGGACGGACGCAGGCCCATCGCAGGGCGGCTCTCACACACCCACTCCCACCCTCGCTCGCACTAGGACCACGCAGTCGGCGCGGCTAACCGGGCCCGCGCTGCTCTGGGATGTCGGAGGAAACCAGGGCGTCTGGAGAAAACCCGGCAGACGGCAGACGTGGGGACGATGTGCCAACTCCACACAGACAGTGGCCCCCATCGGGAAGTCACTTTTTTTCCTCCTCGATGTTATAAGGAAATGGCAATTTTGGAGGACCTGCTGTGCCATATTTCTAAGTCATTATGCTCAAGAATGAGAACAATGCATATTCCACTTTTACATTTTACTGGAATTTTACGTGTTCAGCTCCTGATTTTTGAAATCTATAGGTTTCCGTTCCTTCCAACTATTTGAAGACACAGACTTAAGACTTCTACTTCTCCTATTCTCTTCAAACAGAAAGATTTCTCAAGTGTCTACGTGTTCTAGTTTTTCAGAGGCGGCCGCTTCTTGGGACTAGTCTGACACCTTCAGGCCTCTGAAACCAGGGGACGGGGAGAGGAAAACGGCGAGTGCAGGGCTCCTTTGCTAAGTTTCACATTAGCCGTTACAAGCCGGACCCGGATGAGAGTGGCTTTTTTTTTCTCCCTATTCTCAAGAAGTCTGAGTGTTGGTGTGAAACGAGTACTGGGCTGTGCCACCAGGGCTTTCTGGTCGCAGGACCGTCAGGGAAGTCTTGCTTGGAGAGTTCACCGACCAGGCGTAAATTCCACGCGCCGCGTTCATTCGGGCTTGCTGCAGCTCGTCTTAGTCTGCGCCAGTTCTCCTTTCAATTTTAGGAAAACAAGTTGATGGCTGGCTCGATCACTGCCGATTGGGCAACGCCAGGCGGCAGGCCTTGCTCGAGGTACTACTGGCTTTGAGCAGCACTCTCTCCCCGTCGCTTCTCCTCCGGCTGCCAGCGGCATTGCAAGGCAGCCCCCACTCGGGCAGATTCTCGCTGCTGTTGCTTTAGTTTTTCCTGTCTAGCTTTAAGATCGGTGCATTTGCCTCCAAAGCTGGCACACGCGCTTCATATTGTTTCCATCTTGGAATTAACTCATTTCGAGCCGTAACTTTGAAGTCTTTTTCGCTCAGTCGAACCCTTTTGGGAAGAGGATTTTTCGCTGGTCATCTTGAATCCGAAGAGTTGCCTCCTGGACGTGGCCGCCGCCACCGGCTCACCAGCGGCCCCGCCTCCCGGGAGGAAAAGCGCCCTGGGGAGGGTTGGGGCGGCCGCCAGAGCAGCGGGGGGACCTGGTGGACCGACCTCCCCCCTCGCTCCCCCCGCACCCCGGGCCTTCCCGGAGTCTGGCTCCCCTCCGCGGCCGCCGGGGCTGCGCAGGTCCCTGCCGCACTCTGCCACGTGCAGCGAGCGTCCAATGGAATAAATATGCAGTTTATTCAATTCCCTGTTGGGGATCGAATAAATAAATGTGTGCATAAAACAAATACATAACTCAAAGAAATAAAATGTTAAAATAAAACAATCAAAAGGCATAATCAAATAATCAAGAATAAATAAATATATTTGAAATAAATATAAATATTATATAAAGAATATAATTTTATAACGTATACATATTATATATTTTAAAATATATAGTTAACATAAAAATAATAAAACACAAATCAAATAAAATTATATGCATCAGTCGATTATTTTCAGAGTTCAGTGTATCAGTAGGTTATTTTCAATATTTTGCTGTAACATCCAATGCCACAGTGAATATTCCTGAGCATGCTTGCATGTCTGACGGAACGTCTGTTCTTCAAAGGCTGAGCAGTGATGGAGGGTCAGGAAAACTGTCTGTTGGATTGTCAGACGTGAGGGCCATTGGA